CATAAATAGATAAACAGGATGATAATACTGACTATTACAATAACTTGCTTATGGAAATATTTGCAATCGCCTTCGAGTTTAACATCCAAAGGACGTTATATTTTATCTCTAGTGCTGGTGATGGTGGTTTTATAGTGTCTCATCAGTCTGCAAAATCCCCTCACTTAGTGCACATTAGCTTACAGAGGGCCTGTTTGCTCACGTGTGCTTGTGATGCACAAACAAACACTCTAAGCCGTTCTGTAAATTAGCAAAAAGTGTGCAGCGTGCGCTCGTATATGAACATGCACGTCGTAAATGAGTCCATTAGCGCTGGCGGCGGCTGCCTGTGCGCTAAGAGGGGGAGCACGTCGATGTGATTTTACATTCAAGTGTCACTTAATGATTCGAGATTGTGTATTCGTGTGTGGTGTCGTTTTGTTTTTACGTGTATGATGAATGCAGCGATTGTGCGAGTGTGATTTCTGAGTGTGTACACTAGCCTGGGTGTGAGTCTGCGTCTGCAGTGTGATAAATGTACAGCCAGTGTTAACTTTTACATAGACTCTACTGGAGTACATTAGCAAGAATCGTACTGTATGCTGAGCAGGAAACAAAGTGAGATGTGTGTGTGCGTGTTTGTGATTGGAGCGATAGCGTGGTGTATTAGATGGCCTGTGTGTGTGTGTGTGTGTGTTATCTCTAGCGGGGTGTGTGCAGGGGGCCTTGGGGCGACTGTGTGCAGGAGATAAGGGTGATTCATCTGTGTTTGAATGTTGTGTTTTTGTGTGTGTGTGAGCATGTTTGTGCTTCGGAGGCATGTGCATCCATGTTTGGAGTGTGCGCCTCCGAGCACTTGAACCAACACGTTAATAAAAGCGGTCACATGTGCTCCTTTGCGTGTCATAGGTGTGGGCGCACACGGATGTTGCAGTGGGGACGGGAGGCCTGCTGGCAGTGATTTCTCCCTGCACGGTGGTCGTATATGATAATGCACAACTGCTTTTGTTTACCAGGAGCGCAGCGTGTCTTTAAGGGCATCACCCCCCCTCCTCACTTTACTCCTGTAGAGGCACCTTTGGGCACCTATTGTGCACCCACACAATGTAAATATAGATGAATGCTTGTCAGCGTGATTACACTCGTGGAGAAGCGTCCGTACACGTGCACATGTAAGAATGAAACATACATATTGTGAGGTGCGTCCGTGCGTTAAATTAATATCAGACAAAGACATTTTTGCTTTATTGAACTAAGCAGAGCATTGGGATGACACGTAATTATGCAAATACACAAACGGGAAATTAGGCGAGAATAAAATTGAACAAAAACTTAGTGAAACATGAACGTTTTTTCCAGAACGTCTTACAGAGCGGGATTATT